TTCTTCTACCCCAGAGAACATCATATCGTGTTAGAGGAATAGTACCGCAACTATGGCGTAGCAACTCCGAGTGGCGGTGCCATCCATCATGGCTGAAGTGATGGTATTTCGGCTAACCCCATGTTTCCCAGGGATTCGGTTCCTTAACATGGGGAATAGCTCTGAAGTAGATGTTGTCTCGAATCAACCCCCAGTAGATCAGAAAGACCACATTGGCAAGGGGGTCGCGTGCAGCATTTCTTCGCCGGTAGATGCCAGAACGGGAGCTCGCGTGTTTTAGGCTAAACGCGGCGGATAAACGCGGCCTTCCTCACCGCCGCGTTGCTGAAGCAGAATGGGGGAATCACTTCAGGCCTTGTATCCGGAGTTGACTAGGTTATGTAGTCTCGTCGAGGTAGCTTTCTCCATGCTGGGGCCCAGCTTGTCGTGGTGTCTAGGTAGCAGAGCGTAAGGCAAGATGGTCGCATTCACCGTGTAAGTCACCAATATTCTATGCCTTCCGCCATGAATAGCGGTAAGAACGCCAGCGATGAGCAGCTTTCGCGAAAGCTACATGTATTCACACTCAAAACAAGGTGCATGGATCAACAGTGCATGCAGGAGATGTACGTATGCACCCATGAAACGTTATACACGCCACTGAGTCCGCTTAAAAAGGCCACGAAGTGTGGAAGAATTGCTCCGTTGGGCTATATAATACACGGTACGTATCTTGAGAGTGCTTTTTGTGATCTCATGACGATATGCCGCACCACCTATCCGGAGACAAGGGCTATGGTGTTGCTAAGAAGAGGCAAAGTAGCTCGCATGGATATCGAGCGGTGCCGTGCTCTACTTGGAGCGGGTTGTCGGGACGAATATCGAGACATAGGTCTGTCAGATTTTCAAAAAAAACGGACTTGGAGAGGTTCCATCTTGATGATGCCTCACTAGGCACAGTTTCGAAAGTGGTCCCGTGGTATGTGATCTTGTCGCAAGCTGAAATCCTCCGCTGCCTTTGCTACACCGAGTGAGAGACTTTGACTGGGTGGTAGATCCTAAGAAGCGGAAGCTACCTCAGAATCGAGTCCCATGTACTCTGATCTCGATCCCAGGAAAAAGAATTATTCACAACTTTGGCCTTCGTCATATTGAGTATTGGCTGAAGAGGGACGATAGTTTGGGCCATAATGTGCCGCTGCCATACTCATACCCCTCACCCAACCTGCATTCTCATCCTTTCTTGATGCCTCGGCTACCTCCCGAAAGCCAAGGGGAATGGCGGGCCGAGGTGGCTCAGGAGGCCATCCGGAATGTGTTATGGCGAGCAACTCCATTGTGATGAGAGGTAGATTAGTGACTGAGCGGGAACAAGTCACGGCTTCATATTATATGTGAAAATGATAAAATGTATAATAATCCCAATGAAGGCTTGACTTCTTCACCATGGCAGGTGAGTGCTAATGTAAGCTTTTGGTCCGATAGAGAGAGCCCCGGTATGGAAAGTTCACAGAATGACTAGGGGGATCTCCTCACGGACCTGTTCGTCCACCAGGCTGTCTTGCAAGCGATCATTCCTCAAATACATCGCTGACAGACTTGCGTATGATTCACCCCCTTGAGGAAGAAACTATTGGTATCGTAGCTTTGTACATGTTCCGGGGATGTCTGAATACGGCTTTTCATCACGCCATTGATATATTAGAGCCCTTTAATTGTGTTTGAGCAAAGCGAAACCGAGAAAAGTACTACATATCTCTAGAAGGAGGTATATGTCTTTGTTTCTAAGGGCCTCCTCTTAAAGCCTTATCCCAACAGGGACGCCTGGGTGCTGGAACATGAAGAATACCAGTTCCTACCTGACCGTTCGTAAGCCTTTTTATCACAAGCTCAATTGGCTACGTCGAAAGGACGACTGATTTGAGTTTCCTACTAAGCGCCATATGGCCGAATTGATAGACTATGTCTAGTCGTGGGCTGTAGATATTAGCACAAGTGACCTGTTTCTTTCAAGGCATAGCCAAGGGAAGTTTCTCAATCTGCTTGGATATAGAGCTACAGGAATTGGAACTCGCCTCTAGTGTTGCTAGGCATATCTCCTCTCTTTTCGAGGTAATCGACAGGGTTGAACTTAACTCGAACAAAGAACACCCGTCAGAAAGATGGTTCCTTTCTTCTTCAGATGAAACAACCGGCAGCAGACAAGGTCCAAACACTACTTCAGATCTACCATCATCAGTACTCGGTCGTGGCACCCTAGACAAGCCAACTTGACCTTTCCAGGAGCACGAGGGGGCCGTTCTAGCTTGACACTTGAAGACTTGTCGATTTCGTTTGTCATATAACGACGCCATGGGGATTTTCAGAATATTCATCACATCACTATATTGATCATTCAGATCCCGACAACCTTGGCAGCGGCACCATCAAACTTCATTGAACCGCAGCTCACAACCAAGTATAACACTCATCCGCAACAGGCACCTCAACACTATAAAGCTCCTGCGACCACCACTGCGTCGCAAACCCAACAACACTAAAAAAGAAATCACTCTTCACCGAAAGCCCCTCCTTGCACCCGGTATTATCCTGACCAACACTAATACCAGTTCCATTCACCCCCTGGCTCGCAGACAGCACAAAGTCATTCACCAGCTTGGAGCGCGACGTCACCCCCGAGCTGAGATCGATGGCGCCGCCGAGGATCTCAAACACGAGCTCGACGCCCAGGTCGACGTACGGGGTCACGCCGACGGCGGCCTTTTCGGAAATGTTGGCGCGGGCGGTCCAGACGGGGTCCCAGCCCGTGGCGGAGGAGGCGGCGGCGTCGACGAGGTCGAGGTGGAGTTTTGCGTCGGGGAAGGAGAGGCCTAGGTCCGTGGTGATGGATGCTTTCGCGTCGGCTTCGAGTTCGACGCCGATGGCGAAGCCGATTGCGGGGCCGAGTTTGATGATGCCAGGGATGTCGACGAAGTTCTTGGATTCGGATGTTAGTTGGAAACAAAAGGCGTAACGCGGAAAGTTTTAGAAGTGATGACTTACGTAGCCCAGGTCTTCGGGGTCGTAGGTAAAGTTACCAGAGTACGGCGCCTTCACGTCGACGGTGAGGCCGAGGACCGCGTCAAAGGTGGTGTCGATGTCGAGGGCAAGCTGCTCGACCTTGAGGGGGATGATGCTGTACTTTAGCGTGCCGGAGAAGGTCATGTTGGACGTCAGGGAGGCCTCGTCAGCGGTGACGGAGAGGTACGGGTCGTAGGTGAAGAGGTTCGTGTCGGCGGGGAGGGCGAGCGTGTTCGTGATGTGCACGCCGCCGTCGTCCCACTTGATATCACGCTTGCTGGCGGGGTTCTGGACGGGGACGTTGGAGAAGGAGATCTCCGTTGAGGCTGGTCAAGATGGTTAGAACCTATCTTTCTGTAAGGTTACGAGGCATAGACTTACTAGCCGTGTTGGCAACGTCGCTCTTGTGAGCATTCGCAACAACCTGAAGAGTCTCGGCGTCCCAGGTAACGGTATCAACCAAGAAGAAGCCGCGCTCGTTCTCGGCATCGCAGTTACCCAGGTGATTCGTGACCATGACAAAGTCGTCGAGCGCCTGCCACTGCTGAGACGTCTGTTCAAAGGCGGCCGTCGCGTTGAAGGTGACGGTGATGCTCGCGTCCTCGGCGCACTCGACGCCCGCAATGGCCGCGACCTCCTCGAGGACGACCGAGGGATACTTCATGGCCAGGACGACGCTGACGAGGCTCACATCGTCGGCGGCGCCGTAGTTGAGGGTGATGTCGTTGGACGGGACGAGGTTGGCCGGGTCTGTCTTATTGCACTCGGGCCGCAGGACGGGTGTGAGCGTGGTGGTTGTGTTGGCGGCGGCGTGGGCGCCGGTGACCATGGCCACGGTGAGGGCGAGGAGGGCGAGCATCTTAGCGGACTTTTGGGGGAAGGAGTGAATGAGTGACCTACGCTTGCTGGAGGCTGAGAGACAAGATCATGTCACCGGGGGAGGAAAACTCGCTCATATAGGCATCTTAGACGGAGGAGGTCTGACGGTCATTCTTGCTGCCCCCGGCTCGGCGATGGCGGGTTGAGCGTGCGGGATTAGAATCACTGTCAGTATTCTCTCCGCCATCCTTGTAAATGACATGCAGGACCATCCCTCGCGAGTCGCGATGGCCTCACGGGAATTCTTCTCACAGTGCCTACCGAAAAGGGAACCTTCTCATCTTATTCCATGTCACATCTCACTTTCGATGCACCATCCGCACGCGTTACCATCGGGCCCTCCGCTCCACATGCCGTTGCGCGAGTCACGGAAGACGTTAACAAAATGTAGCTCGAGCTTATCGATAATCGAAACGGACTCAATAAATCCCACCGCGGTGCAACGTCGGGGCCCTGATTTTAGGTCACATCGAACCGCGGGGTCACAACTTTGTTTTGCGTCTTATCCACGGGATGTAGTAGCAAGAGCTTCGGCGGAGCTTGTGAGAGGAAACCCGTGCCCCGCGAGGAAGGATCCCATTGGACATTGAAGAGAGTTCCTCCACGAGAGGGAGCTTTGACAGGATTCAAATATTGAACACATGCCGCCGAGGGGATGGCGGGATCGTAGCATCTCCGGCGGGGGCACGTCGGGCGATAGCTCCCGGAATGGCGCTCGGCGGGGACGTTGGGGGCCCGGGCGCTGTTCCCAAAGGGGAGGTGAGGCCGAGACGGGACCAACGGGGGGAAGTCGGTGACCGATTTCGGAAGTTCGGAAAGGGGGACATTCTGTACTCTATAGTGGCGAGCAATATTAATAGCACCGAAATAGTAGATATCATGTATGCTCTTGAATCATTCATCCATGAAAATGTCTAGACACGGGGCTTTGCTAGATGGCTTGAGGTTTTCAACTTGCACCTGAAGCGATCTCTCGACCACTTATTCAATCCCTCAACATGACAGGATATCCTTGAATGAGATGGGGGAAAGTACAAAGAAGATGGAAAAGTATGATGGGTAATAGTTATGGCGGTTAGGTATCACCATCTCGGCTCCGCTCTTTCGGTCGCGGGCGTCTCCAGGGCGTTCTTGTCGGCAAACGGGTCGTCGTCGTCTTCCTCCTCCTCCGAGTCAGGCTCAACAACCTTCTGGACAGGAGGTCTCGGGGGCTTCGCCGGAGCAGGAGCCGGTGCGGGCGGGGAACGCCTCGCCATCGGGACCGGACGGGGTGGAGCAGGCGGACGGGGGGACGGCGTGTTGCCGATGCTCAGACCAGAAACATCGGGGGGAGGTGGGGACATGGATTGCTTGGCCTTTTCCGTCACCACTGTCAATGTATTAGCAAAGCTTCTAAGGAGTGATTGGGTTACGAGGATGCTTACTTCGATACATGTGAGCTTGCTCGGCAAGTTCATCGTCGGAGTCACTGTCGGCGTCGATCGAGCGGTCGAGCTGCTCAAAAGTCATGAGCGCCGTAACAAGCTCGTCGTTGGCGCGAAGGAGACTGCCGAGCCACTCTTCGGATTCAATGTGGTGGATCTGTGGCAACTAGTCAGAGAAAAGCATCAGACGGTGAGGTGCGAACGTGACTTACATAACGAAGGATCTTTCGTCTAAGCTGTTTGCAGCTTTCGAATTGCTGGACAGCTTGTGCGTTATCAGAGATCCGTTCTCTCTCGCGGTTGATGCTCTGCAGGTGGTTGGTCAGGTTGGTTGTGGCGATGGAGCTCTCAGCAATCGCGCTCTTCATTGCGTCCTTTTCCAGTTCCAGGTTGAAGGGCTTGCGCTTGCTCTTCTTGTCCTTGTCCTTCTTCTTCTTATCCTTGGACGATCCGAAGAAGGAGCCGCCGGAATGGGAAGAGGATTTGGAATGACTGAAAGAGTTGGTGACATTGGACGTGTTACCGTAAGGCAGATACGGCGTTTGTTGAGGCCTGGATGACTCGCCGGCACGGGTGGTGGGCGAAGGAGGCTTGTCCTCTTCCTCCTCCCCGAAGGGATTCTCAGTCTCCCGCACAGCTTTGGATCGCTCCTGGGTCACAGCAACCTTGCGCTTGGGTAGTTCCTAAAAGCAATTAGTTGGCATCGACGAGTAAGAACGTCGGCCGTACCTGGTGCAGTTTCGCAATACGCTCCAAGCCTGGCGTGCTCTTGTACTGAGCCCAGCTGCGGAACAACTCGGTACACTTCTTTCTGACGTCGGGATCAGAGAGATCGGAGGTTCCGCAGACCCTCAGTCGTTCCAACAGAGGCTCGTCGGCGAAAGCTCGTTGGAAACGTGGGCCGGCATTTTGGATCAAGCCGTCCAGGATGGTCAAAGCTCGGAGCTGGCGATGGACGTTGCCGTACTTGAGCTTCTTGCGAATGGCGCGGGCAGCCTCTGCGGGGCCCGAAGCTTGCAGCTTGATGACTTCTACAAGGTCTGGGATGCCACTCATGTCATCTTCATCATATGTCTCGGCGGTCAGCGTCTCAACGCTCACTGTGACGGCGGAATATGGTTTCTTCTGTCCTCGGTATCAGTCCCCGTGTACTCTACAGGTAACCTAGCTCTTTTGAGGCTACATGAAGCTTTCGGAGGGTGTTGAGTAGGCATCATCACAAGAAGACGTAGCTCTTGAGCATCCACTATCGATCCATCTAGCCTCACCGAAAGCCCCCGCGCGGCCATAACCACCCGATGTTGCAGACAGTTAAAAGATGAGGGGGGGCGCGTACCTGAGAGAACATGATGCCCGGCGTGCAATGCAGTGAGGTGTCTTTAATTCAAAGTGCGGCAGTCCTTAAGCAAGCAAGGACTGGTATGTAGCTGTGGTGGTGCGGCTCAACCCAGGTGACTGGCCGGAGGAGGAGGGGTCAGAGCTGAGGTCGCCGCTAGCTAACGGAGGGTGGTCCGCCTGAGGATTCAAAGATAAGGGTGTCAGGTGCGGGAGCACGGAGCTAGTTGGTCGTCGCTGGTGAGGCTATTCAGATTCCCGGAAACGATGCGAATGATAGAGATATGTAGTCCGTCGTCAAGATCGGGCTCCGGGTCGGGTTCGGGATGGAATGTGCATGAAGTGACCTGAGGTGAATGAGGGACGGACGAGGCAGTCTTGGTGGGGCAGGGAGGGCGCCCTCCAAGCTTAGCTCCGCGGGGTGTCTCCGGTACGTACTCTTCGGGTGCGCGTGAGCCTGCCCAGGTGCGCTGGGCCCCGCTGACGTAGTTTCACTCAAGAGCCCGTGGAACCGACCCTGAAAACTGGACTTGAACACAGGTACTCTGCAGCATGCTGGTAAATAAAGGAGGGAAAACAAAATCACTCAGACAATTGAAAAAGTTTTCACTCGACTTCTGGAGTCTTGCCCATCAGAGTTTCGGGTCCGGCAAGGCACATGGTTGGAGAAGATGACCCGAGTTCAAGGTACCTTGCCTACTGCTGGCTGGACCTCTCTGGACAGTGAGCTTTGTGATGTCCCGTCAGGACATCTGACGAAACAAAGCTCGCACAAACGCTGGAAGCACGAGCCACTTGTCCTCGGCCAACCAGCTTCAACCCTGTGGAGTCATCACTCCCCTGAAGACCACCGGCACTGCTCGGCGCCGCGATCCGGCTTGGCCAATCGCATTGACTGGCCGAAACAACATGTCATGTGATCCCGTGTTCCCCAAATATGCTATGAATCTCGTGGACGTCAAATGATTGGAAAAAAGATGCAGTTCACGCGATTTCCGTTCTTTGTGAGAGCTCTCAACTGTTCCCTCCGGCTTCTCAAAGCTGTTCCAGAACTTGACTGTGACTTTGATCATTGTTCAATGGGTTTAAGCCCCGACTCCAGGCATAACTCAACTTACCAACAAGGGCAGCTTGCAAATGCACTTCAGAGGCATCCCTGCCCGAGCTAAATGGCATTTAGTTAGACGGTATTCCTGAGTTCGTTCAGTCTCATTCATCTCATGGCATACCTGGAATCAGCTATCGAGATTCGGCATCTATTATCGTTCGTGCATGACTTCACAGTCTCAGATTCTTGAGTTCTAGACCGTATCAACGCAATTTTGATAGCCACATATAGGGAAAACAATCATTTAATTCAGTAGTACCCGTCTTTCAAACTTACTGTCTACTTCTCTGCATTCTTAACAGCATCCTCAGCGACCTTCTTCGGGGCCTTCTCAACAGGGTCGAAGCAGTGGCATTTATCCTTGCTGTAGTCCATGGACCAGTGGCATCTTGTGTTGTGGCAATCGCCATACTTGTACCGGCGGTCGGAGCCGTCTGGCCGCTTTGCAGTAGCCCACTTGCAAAATTCGACAAAAGCGTTGATAACACGGATAGTCATGATGATGAAAGGTTTGAGGAAAGTTGGTGAATGGGGTTGAATCAGAGCTCTGGAGTGGCGGGTCAGAAAATGGCTCGATGAAGTTAACGATGTGCGATGAAGCTATCGATGTTATCGATGAGAACGAGTAGGTTCTGTCTGGTGGCTTCGATCCCTCGGGTTAAGTGGTATGGGACGAGGACTCTCTGAAGCAATGTGTTCAGGAACCAGAAGCTTGATCAAGTCTTTACAACTTTCTAGATCCAAGACGATGGCTTATCATGCTCCCTACATGGTCTGAAAGACTCAATATATGCTCAGAGATGCTGTTAAATTGGAACGCTGAGGACTTGAAACCTCGAGAGCTGTGTGTCAAACAACCATAATCGGCTCCTCAATACATACCAGCGACAGATCCCGAGAATATATCCTTTCATCAGGTGTTTCAATGAATGATTGCATCTCAAGCAATAAAGGAATGTCGTCTCCTTTTGTTTGCGAAGGAGGGACGAAGCTGCCGACTCGGGCTGGGTATTCGAGTAGATCTCACGATCAAAGGCTGAAGGAGAGAACTCTAGGGCGAACAAGGGAGGTCACAATCAGTGCAACCCTTGTTGTGGTAGTCTGCGCCAGCGCAGACCACACCAGAGTGCATTGGGCCAGTTGCATATCCTACAAGCACGTTCGCACATGCTAAACTATCAACAAGAAATGTCATCATCGCTTATCAACCAACTGGGACTCGCTTCCGTTGAGCTGTCGTAGATTCCAATCAGTAGCTCCGCGCCAGCTTGAACAGGGGCCATATTTTCCAGGTCAATGAATTGAGACGGAAAAGAGAGCGTTCCGTCTCAACCAAGTCTCAAAATTTGTGTGTGCTCCAGTCTTTGCCTCCCTGCTCATCTTCATCCCCTATCTCCTCTGCGTCCCCATTTTCTTCAGCATTGTCATTCGCGTCGCCGTTCTCGCCCTCTTCATCTTCGTCACTGTCATCATCGTCGTCGTCTGCATTGAAGTCCGGCATGACAATGCTGTTCAAGAAGGTAATCTACATCGTGTGTCAGCCTGCTCATCATCAAAACGCCAGGTAGCCGGTAGAAAACAACTTACGAATGGGTGCATCGCGGCAATGATCTCACAAATCTGCTCTTGGGCATCGTCCTCGGTAAATACCTTGTCATCGACCTTCTTGCTAATTGTGAAGTTGCGCAACTTCAACAACTCGATATCACGGTGATCGACCAAGTAACCCTACGAAAGCGTGTTTTAGTACCGTTCCACAATGACCGTGATCTTCCCCTCGCCCCTCACGAATTGCAGGACCAAAGATTCGACGGAGACGTACCTTGGGCTTAGTCTTCAGCGCATTGCCCTTATTCGTCTCGGCAAACCCCTTCAACGCCGCTTCCTCACCCCCCTTCTGCGACGACTTTGGCAAGAAAGTCTTCTTGAACCTTTCATCATTCAAGACCCTGCGCCACCGACGCGGCCGCTCATCGATGCTCTCTCTCAGCTTCTGCAAGTGCGATGCCTCGGGACACCACAGCCCACCGCCCACGAAGCAAGAGCCTGGCTGAAGGTGGATGTAGTAACAGGCGTAAGGACCCTTCTTACCCGTTCTAGACCATGCCGCAGAGAAGTGAGCCTGTGCGTTTTGAGGTCGTTAGTATAGCTATCCCACAGAGGTTCCAGCAGCCTGAAAGCGATGAAGAATGGCAGGTACCTTGTAAGGAGTTGGATCCTTGCTGAAGCGAATGTCGCGGTGGATGCGAAAGACGAGATCCTTGGCCGGTAATTCTGGGATGGTGAAGTCCACTTCGGTGATCTTTGGCGTGATGGTTTCGACAAAGGTGTTCCAGTCCTTTAGGGAGCGCCTATACTCGCCGTCGTGGCCTGGGATAGATCAGTATCCGTAGAATACCAAGAGGGTTTCCTCGTGAAGCCTACTCTTCAGCCAAGATCTCTGGTTGTGAGCTCTGAGGTCCTTCAAGAACAGCATAGTATTCTTATGAACAGTGTCGTCGGAGTAGTCCTGCCCATCGAGACCCCGAAGTTTCTCATGCGGAATGACAGTGACCCTACTCTCGTAGTCTTCCTCATCTTCCTCTTCTTCGTCTTCATCATCTTCAGGTTGGTCATCCTGATACTCATCCTCAACCCTCTCAATCTTTTGCCTCTTCACTGCCTTTGACTTGCTTGGCGCGGGCTGTGGCTTAGCTTTAGGTTTAGCGACTGAACCCTTTGGCCGTCCACGTCCACGTTTCTTTGGTTGCTCCTCCTCTTCACCATCACCTTCGCTCTGCACCTCATCACTCTCACTCTCAACCTTCGCATCTCCATCAAAGTCATCATCGTCGTCGTCACCCTCAAAATACATGCTCTTCTTCGGAGTGCTTGACACTCGCCGAGACCGCCGGCGGGGCTCATCCTCAGCGGCCGGCGACGCAGCGCGCTTACGGGCGGGCATGATTTCGAATTACTTTGCCTCGGTTGTATCCCAAAGAGTCAATCGATGTCTTTCAAGGTCGGGTCGGTCTGCAGCTAGTCGCGGTGTGCATGTAAAATGATTGGGTGCTAATTCAAGAATTTGGTATCAAAAGCCAGAAAGGTGTCGTGCGTCATCGAGTGGGCGACCGCGGGGGGATGGCGACGGACGCGCCGGGATTGAGACGCAGGCCAAACGCGCCATCACATGACCTTTCACGTGTGCTCATCATCTATCAGCGCCGCGCGCATCCCGCGGAGGCGGGACCGGACGTCGACGTCTGCCGTCCGGATAGAATCAAAGGACCGACCGACTTCCTGTTCTTCGAAAGGTCCGGTAGCGCCCACACCAAATTTCAATGTCCGCTGACACCTGTACCCATTGAGAGCACTCCTCTTGACCGTGAAATCTTTCGCTGACTTACTAAACGGAGTTTAAGCGCAAACTCCAAACGTCACACTAACGAAACCACGACACTTTCAGGCTTGTCCCACAACGGACTCGCATGAAGTTCGCATGACAAAAGTATATCTCCATCTCATTCTCAAACCTTACGAGTGAGATGTCGTGATGTAAAACGAAATATCGCCCCCATTAGAAGTGACTTGGCTCATCATTTCTGCATACCCTGATTGATACCCTCTGGTATATCGAGCTTGTGGCAGGAATGTATTAAAACCGCCGTCGTCTACGCAGTCGTCCGGTTTTTCAATGGGAACAATAATCACCGATTCTGCTTGCTCGAGCGAAGTAAAATGATGCTAAGCGGCTCGCACAACAAAATTCAGCAGAGCATGTTCGTGACACTGCGCGGAGGATGATGTCCCAAACAAGGCTTGGCAGCACACGGTACTAGACCATGGCGAGTTGTTGAAAGATAGGAAGTCTATCGATGGGGAGGCCGCGGGGCCCGAATTCCGACAACATTATAAACATCATACGCACGAGTCACTCTCGGGGCAAAACTCCGCCAGCTGAACAGGTCACTGCGCCAGAAGTCCGCAACATTGAAGTCTGCCGCGATTTTGAAAATGGCACTCTCTGCACTACACGACGGCTTCTTCCGGGGCTCAATCTTTTGATAGAGACAAACGTCTTCAACTCGCCGAATACTTGCTACACGTGTCCTGATTTGAGATCCGCTACCCCTCAACTTCAAGTCAATGCATTCTTGGAAAATCCACAAGGGGCGGGTTTCTCAGAAGGCCTCCAAAACTCCAAGATTGCTTTATGTTTTGAGACAAGAAGCCGCTTCACGATCGACTATAAGTACAAACGTGTTGGATCTGGCCTCGTACTGAGGAACCCAGCTGTTATCCATCATTCAACAGCAGCAACACACAACCCAATTTCCACAACTCTTCAATCACCTCCACGGTTGTAGTCGCAGTCGCCGGAGGCACGGGCGGTGTCGGTAAGACTATCGTTGAACAATTACAGCTCAGCAAGAAGCACGAGGTGATCCTGCTTAGTCGCAAGGTAAATGCCACCCACAGCCGCAGCCACATGCACACACGCTTGAACCCCTTCTAACCAAGCCATCTAGGCTCCTGCCACATCCGCCTCAGGTGGCGCAAAGATTGTGCTTGCTAACTACGGCAACATCGAGGCGCTGTCTCTGCTGCTCGAGGAGCACAAGGTCGAAACGGTCATCTCCACGATTGGTTTCGGGGGCCCAGAGGCCGCTCAGTCGCAGCTCAACCTCATCGCCGCGGCCGACAAGGCCAAGTCGACCCATCGATTCGTACCCAGCGAGTTCGGAGTTTGGTTGTCTCCAGAGTATGCAGGTTCCTTTCACCCCGAGACGCCTTCCCCTCTTAGGTGCTGTGGAATTACTGACACCTAACCAGCGACACGAACGCGGCGATGTTCGGTGCCTGGCTGGACGCAGTCGCTGCTCTGAAAAAGACTGACCTGATGTACACCTGTGTCATCAACGGGTGGTTCATGGACTACTTTGGCATGCCGCACACCCCGAGCAACCTCACCCCTCACACCTGGGTCGTCGACGTTGCGAACCGCCGCGCCGCGATCCCCGGAACAGGCAACGAGCCCATGACCCTGACCTACTCGGTGGACGTGGCCCGCTTCGTCGTCCGCATGCTCGACGACGCCGACTGGCCCGAAGTCAGCATCATCAGCGGCTCAGACACTACGTTCAATGAGATTCTGGGAATCGCGGAGAAACTCACGGGTACGTACGGTTTTGCAACTTTGAGGCCGTAACACTAACAATGTCTATTTTCTTGCCAGGAGACAAGTTTGACGTCGTCTATGACGGAGAAGAGAAATTGAGGAGCGGCCAGGCAACCGTCTGGTCGGCAGGCTACGGCGCAGGACCGGCGTCAATGGAAGAGACGGAGGCGATGATCGCTCTTTTCGGATTGATGAGCGTCGAGGGCCGAATCCTTGTGCCCGAAGGTAATCGTCTGAACGCAAAGTACCCAGATATCCACCCCGTGGGCATCGAAGAGCTTCTTGCCCAGGCCTGGACTGGGAGATAGGATTTGTTTCGTCTCAGGATTAGTGCTTAGGTTGAATGCTTTTCTGTCAGCGTCGCTAGCGCTTCGTCTCTGTCGTCCAATCCCCTCTACACGATGTGATCTTCTTGTTTAGCATAGCCTCTCTAAGATGAAGACACATGTCTTGATCTCAGCCCCCGTAATTCTCAACATCTCTGCCGCTACTGGTCCTCCTGTGCGAGAGTTGACTCTTAATTGATGGTGACTGCATTCATTGTGACGGAAAGATCCAATTCAAGAAGTGAAACTACGTTGCTCAATCACAGCCAGACACGCTGCCCTAAGCCGCTGCCTAACCCGACGGGAGCCCGGAAGCTTAGTCTGCCGATCCCTACAGACTGGACCTCTCACACAAAACTCGAGGAAATAGTAAATGAGACAAGTAAGCCGACTAGTCTAGACCGGCATAGGGCCCGGGCCGCCCAGCTGCAGACTGAAGTAGAGTTAAATGTCGATCCGATTCCAAAGTCCCAAAATCCACCAAAAAAGTCCGACTGCCCCGCCAGATGCGGCTTTGTGGATATCGCAGGGAGCGGCCGCCAGCCGCACCCGCAGGGCCATGCCGTTTGAATATCCTAGCCTCTTCATCATCCTAGCCGCTCAAAGTCGCCGGAAAGTCTCCGCTCATCATTGGAAAGCGAAGGACTCTAGCCGCAGTAGAGCTTAATCTTAAAGAGTATAGAGAAGTGAAGGAGCCGCAGTACTCTGCTGACAGAAGTCTCACACCGCCCCATAGAGGAGCAGCCGAGTCCCGTGTTCTCAACCTTCCCAATGGGTCGAATCGACATGGTTTATAGAGTTGTCTTCCTAAAAGAGCATCGATCTCAGCGGTTCCGACGCTTCCAGCAAGATGAAGTCAGTGGATTAATGGGTCCTTCAACCAAAGTCCCGTACATCTCACGATGATATTTCATGTATCTAGACAGTGCCATATTGCTACTCAGAATGCAGCCGACGGACCCACGCTGACATTTGGCTCAGGGCTGTGAACCGGGTCTCACGATAGTCTCTCCCAAGTTGGTAAGAGAATCGTCTAGGAGGCGAGACTTCAGGTCTTTGGGCTTCCTCATTGGTGGTATAGGAGTGTCCCCGCCAAGGCTCCCCTAAGTTCCTTTTTATCTTGCAAGACGATAATCTCTATACCCACGGCCCTAGGTGCCATAATTAATGCTATAGGAGTATTCCAACCGCGGCTGCCTCGAGTCCTTTCCGATTTTGCAATAGGATCATCCGGAAGGCAATATCCAAGGCTTTCCTAAGTCCTTTTTGATGCAAGAGAACCATCCCAACATCCTAGCCTCTAGGTATCATCCTTGGCGATATAGGACTGCCCTAGCCGTGGCACACTGAGTCCTTTCCGATGTTGCAATAGGATCACCCGGAAGGCAACATCCAAGGCTCTGGGTATCGTAATTGGCTGTATAGAAGTTCATTAGTCAAGGCTACCATGCTTACTGTCTGATGATCCTCAATCGCCTGCTAAGAGGGATCGAAAAAGACCTTTGGTGTTTAGAATTACGAGGATATGGGCTGTTCAGGTAACAAAAAATCAAGGTGGCGAGCCGAAATAGGAGGATATTGATGAACAGAGATACAAAGCTGGGTACTTTTGACGTAGATCCTAATTCCCACGATGTACTCGTGTCTTGACATCCAGAGACAACGAATTTGGGTACTTCGGTCGAGATCCTTGTACCACGATGTATTCATGTCTTGACTTCAGGAGAGGAGGAGTGAAAGGATGACACAGAGAGACACAAAGAAATTGAGCACTTTGGTTCGAGGCCTTGGTCCTGCGACGTATTCAGGTCTTGATGACATCCGAGGCAACGAAGTTGAGTGCTTTGGTCGAGATCCCAGTCCTGCAATGCATCACAGTCTGGACATCAGGAGAGGAAGAACAACACAGATTCAACTATAAAACCCTCCATCTCCTCCCACATATTCCTCCACTTCCCTTCCATCAGCATCAACTTCTCACATCAACACAACAATCCTCAACCCTAAACATTCTTCACAATCTTCCCGACTTACCAGTCCCAACCCCCCAATCTCAAAATGAAGTCCTTCACCGTCATGGCCATCGCCCTCCTCGGCCTCACCAACGCCGCTACCATCCGCATCTGCAAGGACCAGACCCTCGGCAACTGCGTCACCATGGACGTCGGCAGCTGCAGTACGTTTCTCATACTCGCAAATCCTCAGGCCTCCTCAACCTCCAGGCTTCTTTTTCTTTTCCAGTCTTCAAAAGCTAATAATCCATCCTAGCCAACTTCCCCGGAAGCATGAACGATGTCGTCAGCTCCGTTGACACTGGCAGCGCCACCTGCACCTTCTACACGTGAGTTACTACTATCCCATTCATTCTATTCTTCCAAAAACGGAAGAAATGGAACAGCCTTTCTTCTCTCTCTCTCTACATCAATCAACATCATCGAGAATATCTCCTCTGACACATCTTGTTCAACCTGCTAGTGACGGCAGCTGCGGTGGCGCCTCCTGGACCACCAGAGGCCTCCAGAACACCGTCCCCTCCAACTTCAACGACAACCTCAGCTCCGTCCGCTGCTAGAGAAATCGACCTTCATGCTTGGAAGTTGGGTACTTTCTACGGAGCACTCCACGAAACATGATGGTGACATTGTATTGCTTTCGGTGCTCTCTGTGATGGCCAACAGTGACGCGAGGGAAATAGGGGCTTCCAAGTGATCTTGGCTTAGAGGTTTGAGGCTTTCTTGGTTTCCGGAAAGAAGCGGGCAGAACTCGATGTCGAATCAGCTTGAGATTTATTACCTTAGCACCTATTATGCCTTTATTTAGAAAATAGACTCTTTGAGTCCCCACTGTCCCTTCGCCTTTTCTAATGGCTCCTTGAGTTTCCTATAACATTCAGAATCTGTTGGCCCATACGTGCTACACGCCACCACGCCGTTAGCAAGTTTAACGGAGCCCTCTCTGGTGACTATCCCACGAGATGCGAAAGTTAGCATACTTTTTCCTTCGAGAGGAGCAACGCCCCCTCTTCTCTACTTCAAGAGAAGGAGGAAGGAGAGACTTGTACGAGTGACATTTACCTCTAGGCGTAGCAATCACAGCAATCTCTTTCTTCTTCATTTAAATCAGTAAGAGTAAGCAGAGCTTGAAAAAAGAGTGATTTGTTTTTAGAGAATTTGAGGTTATAAACAGGGGTGAGTTTATAACTATGTTTATATACTTTATTTACATATGGCTTGAACAACCGGGTGCTATCTAATCGTCTATAATATCAAATAAAGTTATTAATTTGCAGTCAAAGGTACATTCATAAACAAGCGGTTATGCTAAGAAGCGACTAGAATATCTTCAAGGAAACCTATACGATATACTATTAGTTTGGAACTAAGTAGAAGAGTCCAAGGAGTTTAAGGTTAGTCTGTAGTTACTAAAATAGTAACGTCTTTTTACGAGGACACGAACAAAGTCATTGAGAAAGTGGAGTGACTCTTCACGTACAAAGACTCCAAGGCTATAGGCTTATAGTTACATTAGAGTTATAGCTAACGGACTACTGCGTATATATCTTATTTTTTATTCTTCTCTCGTAATGGACCTTTGGTTTACTTAGTGAACTTTATAAAAATTCTCTTTATTAATAATTTCTTTTAACGAGTAGTCAGACTAATATAATGGACTGGCAAACGACCTCGATTTTATACTATCACAAGTCAGCCAAAAGTCTACCGAGGACGGACTCGGACAATGAGAGACTACATCGATTCCATCTTAACTCTTTTCTCCTTCCGTCTCTCTCTCCATACCTTACGTATAGGTATACAATCCAAATCAAGACTCATACAAGCCCCTCATTCCATCTTTGAATCCGGCGTGAAAGAAAAGTTCTCATAGGGGACCTTAATGGCAAATTCCCTTTAACAAGATTAGAACAAAAATAAAAACAAAGGTTGTTATAAATCTCAAAAAGACGGCAATTCTTCAAGTTCAAGAAAAAAATTATTAAATCCAAAAGAAACGATATAGCGGTGTTAAAAGGCTCGGCTCGCTCTCGGGTGTTTTACTAATTGTATTGAGTTCATAGAAGCTTTGATATGGCTAAGCAATACCCCATCGCGTAAAGCTCCCGTGGCAGAAGAAGTCGATGGCAGAAGAAGTCAGTGGCATACGAAAAGAAAAAAAGATTGTAAAAGCTTCATATCGGTAGCGACAATACACTCTACACATGCTCCCAAAGGTAGAAAGAACATTTGTGATGCAAACCCGGAATCGTCCATGTAGACAACCGGCTTACAAGGTAGCCAAGTATAGCCATCACAAGGGATCAATCACCAAGCAATCAAACGCAATGTCAGATATGAACATTTCATTATTCATCCAGCAAACCTATCAACGCCTCACAATCCCGACAGGAACCACATCTCTCGTCCTTACTTCATAACCCTTAAGATCAAGCCAGACTGAATTACGACAAAGCAACATGGAAATAGCTCCATCAAATCGGCCGAGCCGCGCCAACCATCCGACGAGCCGACTAGCTCACCAAACAATGTACAGGCAAAACGTAAAAAAAGAAGAAAAAACGCAGTGCAACCAATTCTCCGGCACCTTCCTTACTGCGTCAAGGCACGTAACATTAGAACGCCAAGCTAAAGTTTTTTTTCTCTCGCCCCCCGTCCTCTCTGTCCTGCGTAATCTGGCCGGTCCCTGTCTGTCAGTACTCCGCCGTCGGTTCGACGGCCCGAAATCACGACCAGGGGTCGTCGCGCACGCTCTCCCCTCTCCAACGTGTGAGGGCAGACTAATGCCACGCTGCCCACTGCTCGATTCGTCCACTTCTGCAGCTCAATTCAGCGCATTTGGCCTTTTGGAATTTCTCCTCACCCCAAAAAGATCTGGACTAGCGACTACGCCGCCTTGTTGCGGTCTTCGAACGCGGAGAAACACGCACGCAACAGGGAACTCCATGCCCTGCAAACAACCGCATCGGGAGAAATCATGTCTTGGCGTTAAAAGGTCGACCGACATCAATCCTCAATGATGCCGCTAGCTCGTCGACCACCGTACAAGTCATGCAGTGCAACGACCTCAACAAAGAATCAAGCCCTCTGCTATCTGGGCTCTGTCCACTTCAGCCGAGATTTGGGTCATGGGCAATGCGACCCAGGGGTGTTCTGTCGCGGGGCTTCTCGACCAAATCAGCATACCCATCCAGGCTTGATCCCATCACCCTGACCATGTCGAAAATGTGCGAGCCCTTGAATGTCTCTGCCCAGAGCCTGATAACCGCTGCAGCTAGCTGTCTCAACCTTGTGCTGTCGTTCGCAGAAACTTCGTTGTTGGCAGGTTGACCGGCGGTAGGCCCGCCCAGAGATGGATCAATGGGCACAGCGAATTCCGTCTCGTCCAGCATTCTCCTCACCGATTGTAGGAGATTCTTTTCTTCGGGGGTCGCAGGGGGATCATTCGGTCCGATCGATGCGAGGGTAAGGAGCCATTTGGATAAGAGAATGGCACATTCGAAGTTGCATACTACAAAGAAATGGGGTTAGCTAGAACAAGCGGTGTTTAAGGAACACAGGTACTTACAGGAATGTTGGATGCTCCATTCGAGGCTCTTAGTCCTCGCAACGTAGTTGACGCCGGCCTTGACCAACATGGACAAAGCGTGGATGGCCTGGAACACGGCTCTATGCAGCCTCAACGTACGGACAAGGAGGGGCATATTGCTCAGCGACGAAGCAACCAGCATGTGATCCCTGGTCTCGAGGGATCGGCTGGGCGGAATCTCGGTATATAGACGGATATATGCCAAGCGTAGGAGGGCGGTAGAGTTGAACGCTACCGGGCCACCCGGGAACGAGTCGCTGTTGCCCACATGCCCCGCATCGGCCGCCCTCAATTGGTGTCGGTGTTCGAAGCTCACCTGCCATATCCTCAGTGCAGCAGTGACCTCTTCCACATCCTCCGGCTTCAATCCCCTCTGTGGTCCAAACGGCGAGCTGAGTGCAAACGAAGTTTGCTTTAGCAGGTAAATGTGCTGGAGCAATGCGTGGATGAGGACATAGTTTCCGAGGGACGACATGTGCGGAGGCAAGCCCTGGGGCGAAGTCGTCAGAACTCTGGAGAAGGCGTCGTGGACGGTGATTTCGACAGAAGGATAGTTTTGTCTGTCTTCCTGCCACTGCCATGCCGATTCAGCCCTCCACAGCCTGGACGGGTAGGGCAAGAATAGCCCAAGCTCCGAAGTGAGGATAAGGGGTGGCATGTTGTATGCAATACTGCACAGGTTGAAGAAGCAATAAGCTATTAGCTTCGTGCGCGTAGCTCCCTCAAGTCGAATCCAAGTCTCCCAATCCGGTGCAACGGCCGGGCTGGACTCGGCTATCAACCCCTCTTCGCGAACGAGCATAGCAAGGTGGCTCTGAAGGGACAGAGCTTCATGCAAGATTGCCTTCGCTCCCCAAAGCCCGACTGCGAAGAGCAGCAGGACAGCCTGTGTGGTCTCAAGTCGAGCTTGCGGTGTATTTGGCGAGCTGTGGGTAAAACGTCAGAGCCGACAAGCAGAGTAAAATGAGAGGTACACTTACAAAGGCTCGCGATGAGTGTCTTGTGTCATCGGGCGATCCTGCTGTGCCGAGGCAAAGGTGTGCCTAAAGCCAGAGCTGGGAGAAGGCCGAGTCGAGTGTGGACTGTACGCAGCAGGTGTCGGTAGAAGGGCATGAACCTCATGGCTATGCCGTCTTCGAATCTGCTCGAGCGCAACAGCCTTGGCAGCATACCACAGCGCGTGACCCCGGTGGCTCTCGAATCGGTACTGTGCACCAACAGCCAAGATAGCCAGAAGAAGTTCCGGTGCCATCTCGGCGGGTGTTAATGTGGGAATATGCAGGAACGGGAGATACTCGTGGAAACCGCTGATATACCCCTCGAGGAATCGAGTGAGTGTATGTCTAGACGGAAATACAAAGTCGTTTGGAATGACCGACGAGAACTCCTCCAGTCGGTTCTTGATGACCGTGTGGTCGACGGCGGAGATACGAAGGGGTGCTCTCATTGACTCTTCGTGGCTCCTGGGACCACCTTCCATACCCTCCCGACCATCCGGCTGGACCGAAGGGAACCGTGACGGAAACTGCGATGAAGGCTTGGACGGGCCACGGTGATGCATGTCGCCACGGGGCCATAGTCCCCCCATTTGCTGATCAGACTCGAACGGAGGTGGCAAGTAGTGCGAAGAAGGCGCAAAGTCGTCGAGGAAAATATGATAGTCATCGTAAGGTGCTGCTTGGGGCTGGGGAACGTATCCCGGCGCCAGCATGTTCTGGTCCTCTCGTGGCCGTTCGGGATACCCCATCGACTCATCATAGGACTTGATCCTCGTATGATCAGAAGGCGGACGTCCCATCTCGGCCATCATAGGTTGCTGCATGGGGTTCACTTCGCTGGCCAGTGCCGCATCAGAAAGTAGATCGAGGTTGCAGGCAGCGGTACGTGCCGGGCCTGGCATGCGAGGATCTGGGGCCATGGTGGATGCCACGGCCGTTATTGACTCCTGGTGATACTGGGGCTGAGGTGGGCGCTGGACGCCCAACATTTCGTGTTCGACATGGCTGTCGGAGGAAGATGGCGGATTATGTGTGCTGGATGAAGTCTTTCTTGGCCGATTATTCTCCTTGCTGCCCTCGTTGAGGTGAACGAGCTTCTCATGGCGGACAAGGAGGTCACTGATGTCCATATAAGCATATTTCTTCGTCAGAGTTGGGAGGGGAAGTAGGCCGTGTTGCGGTTGAGCATCAAGAACAGGGAAGAGGTGGAGTCGAAAGTCGGGGCCTTGGGACGGGGGGGAAGGTCTTGGGGATAAATCAAAGCAAAGTCAAGTAAAGCTGGGTGGTGTGGTGTGTGCGGAAGGTGACAGCATATGGTGTCGATGTGGTGAGGTAAGTGTACTCGGGCAGGCCGCAGGATGGGTGAAATGACGAATGGCCAGGGGCAAGGTTGATAGAACTCACCGTCGTCCGAACGTTTTCCCACAGCGAGCCCAGCCGCAGGCAAAGGGCTTCTCTTTGGTGTGTGTCCTTTCGTGTCTTTGGACATGCTCCACACGCCTAGAATGCAAAAGCAATGTAAGCTAGCGGAAGGTACAGCGAGAAAGCCAAAACCAAGGTAAGGTAGGGCAATCAATCGTCGAGAGGGGAGTTTGGGGGCCTTGCACCGAGGAGCAAGGAGGAGGGGGAGCCGACTTACCTGAAGCGCTTGCTGCAATACTTGCACGGCAATGTCTTGGGTTTTTGCTGCCGGGCCTCACCATTTTCCCCAGCTACGCCAGAGCCTCCGTGAGGCTGCCCCTCTATGGACTGGAGTGGCATCATTTTGTGCAAACGCTACCCAAAGAAGCAGCAGGCAAAGGGGGAAATAGAGGGTACTGTGTGCTCGGCTAGATAATAGGATAGCTCGAGGACCACCGAGGTCACACAGCACAAGAAAGTGGGGGAAATGGAGGAGGGAAGGTAGGCGGAGCAAGCAGAGTTGGGCTTGGAAGAGATACTTTGCGGGGTGCGCTGTGTGTATCGTATCGATATGAAGATGATTGTTGTAGGGACAGCTTTCAGACTCTCGCGAAGAGCAGCACCAGAGAATTGTTTTGGTAACGGTCCTCTGCTAACCCCCCGTTTTCGTCTCTTTCCATGCAAGCCTGGCGTGAGCGAGTCTCCGATGCCTCCTGGTAGGCGTAAGCGTCTACGGGCGGTGGCGGCCGGCGTTTGCAACTCGAATCAACCGGTACCGCAAAGCATGCAGGAGACGCGTGAAGGAAGTGAGGAGTTGGGATTCGGAGTGGGATGTCCCGGCCGCAGTGGTAGTAGGTAGGGTGGGCAAGTTGCGAGGAAAATTGGGCGCGAGGAGGAGAAGATTTGGGGAAGAAGGGAAGTACTGGTGTCACGGCACCACGAGTGATACAAAGGATACAGGCAGAGCAAGTTCGAGTATGAAGGAAATGTGTGTGTGTGGTGGGAGGTTGCGGCAATGTGTATGGATGTTTGTGCGTTGGGGCGAGGACACAAACAAGCATGCATGCGAAGATTGAACGCGAACAACCAAGGTGTAGTTACTCGGCTCAAACAATAACAACCTTGGATAAAATGGCAGCGAGGTCCAAGTGAATTGGCAGGGAGGGGGTGGGAGAGCAAAAGGCGGGGAATTGATGGAGATGAGGAGACTCTCGGGAGAGGAGAGAAGAGGAGCAGCAGAGAGAAAGAGGAGGAGGAGGATGAGGAGAGCCGCGAGTAGTAGAGTAGGGCGAACCAGACGGGAGTCTTAGCGAAGCCCGGCAGAAGTCAAACAGGCGGAGCGGAGGCCAGCAGCAGCAGCAGCAGCAGCAGCGAAACAAAGGGAAACGCTGGGGAGCCGCGGCGTACCTTTCTCAGTAGCCGATGAGACAGAGAGGAAGCAGACGTTGACGTTAACGTGGGCAGAGAGAAGAGCGCGGAAAAGAGAGGCTGGAGCTGTCTCGGTAAGCTAGGCAAGGTAGCTTGGAAGTTGAGAAGCTTAGGCTGGGATGCTGAAGAGGGGAAACACGGAGATGTCGGCTGTCTGCGGCGCGTGTGCGACAAGCAGATAATGCTGGGTGTTTGGATAAGGTAGGTAAAAGGATACGATCGGCGTTACTACAAAGCTTTGTGGTACCGGTACTCGAGGCGGCGAGTCTGATGTATAGATGGAGATACTACGTGTATCGAGAGGGGAAATTTTGGCGGTCGAAAGATGTCGCGTGAGAGCCGGTCGGTAGGAGAGCTGGTATGTCGGCTGTTCAGCTTGAGGTGGTAGCGAGAAAGGTCTGATCTAACGGAGTGCCGCGGAGGATTGACGGAGAAGGGATGCTTTCGCATGCAACATTAATGCTTGATATGTCGTGTGTGTGTATAGGACCGGCGCGTGCCAATGGGGGAGACGATTTGGAGATGGAGCTGGTAACGTAGTTTGATGATGGCGGCCCTTTGCGTGAGGAGGAGGCGGGTAAGGTAGGTAGGTGGTAGGCTGTGAAGAAAGCGGAGGAGGAGCAATTGAGAAACGTGATGCGATGAGGAGGCAGAAAGCCGCGGTGGTAATGTGTAGAAGCAGGGAGGGAGTGTAGTGCGCCCGCGTGTCCAAAGTGTGAAGCTGAGTATGAGTCTGAGTCTGAGAGTGTGCGCGCGTGTGTGTCCGTATGCGTATGCGTGTGCGAGTGTGAGTGAGGTGCCTGGCGAGTGATGGAAGTGAAGTGTATTGTGTGAGAGGTGTGATGTGAGGTTACCCGTGAGTGAGGTAAGGTAAGGTGAGGTGAGGTGGTGGTAATGGGTGGGAAAAGGTGGAGAGAGCGATGAGGAGAGAAAGAATTGGCTTCCGTTGAATGGGGGAAATCCAGGCAAGAATCTGGGGTCTGGGGTTGTCTCCTCTCTCTCCGCATTGGAGAAGCACCAAGGTAAGGTAGGTACGTAGGTGACTTGCTCCTGCTTCGTGCTGCTGCTGCTGCTGCTGCTAGGTTCCTTACTGCCACTGCCACTACCGCTGCCGCACTCGTAGCGTCTGTCACTCGCTCTTTCCCGTTGCTCTTACAGTACCTAGGCTATTACGTACCCAAGTATCTATCTACGTACCTGCGACTACCTTACCTTACCTTAGTTCCCAGGTATTCCACCCTCCCCGGCCAATGACAACGTAGCTTACCTCAGCCAAACCCCGCCTGCCCTTCCCAATCTCTCCAATCTCCAAAGGTACCTCCGTTCGGATATCCCTAGCTCTGAATCCCGGAGCCGGCAAAGAGGCCTTGCATCAGTAGCAAGTAGATGGGGAAAGGAATAGAAGGAAGAAACAAGATTGGCAAGGTACCTGTCTTCGAGTATGATGTTCTGCCTGGTTAGATCGAGAATTGGGAGGAGTCGCGGGATTCTTGGGCGACGGGATGATTTGGAGCAGCAGCAGCAGCATTGAGACTCTGAGATTCACCTCACTCTGGGTGGCCTTGAGCATCCGCAGTCAGGTATCCGTAGGCTCGATTGCGAAAAGGGACTTTGAGGTTGGCATGTGTGAAGTATCTTTTTGCGCAGAACTCACCCAACTAGAGACCTTCCTCGGATGACCCAGGCAAGTAGCGGCTGGGCCAAGCTTCAACCAAGGACTGCCCTGTTCAACCACCCTAAAAGATGGTTGCATGTGGTGGGGGAAGCAGGGCGGGGAGCTTCACAGCCAGTGCCAATGGGAGCTCGGCCATGAAATCATCCCTCGTCGGCAAGGGCCTTTGGAGGCCGATGATCCAGTCAAGCAATCCAGTCAAGCAGTTACGGATAACTTTAAGGCACTTCCGTCATCTGCTGTCGTGTGTGTTATATCTGCATCTGCACCGCGGATCCATCCATTGGCGAGGGCGAGATCCCAAGACGCAAACCAAAGCAAAAAACAAATGTCGGAATCTCGTCTCATCTCAACAAGCTTCTACTCTAATCTGCCTGTTATCGTTGTTGATGTTGGGCCACTACGGCTGTTTCTCTTCATTCCAGACCTTCACCAACTGATTGGCTCTTGTCTTCTCTGCGCCCCCTCATCGGTATACCTCTGCATCTGAGTATCTAGCCTACTATGTAAGCTAATTAGCACACAATTCAGCCGTGCCTTTCTCTGTGTCAACGTGTCTGTGCAAACTGCCCTGCCTTTTGCTGCACTGACGCCGGGAGGGGATCATGGGTACTTCTCCATTAGGCGTCGGAACACACACCGGGGAGACTGCTGGTCTCAAGATGCGCCAATGGTAGCTCCGCAATAGCGGCCAATCGTGACAGGGAGCCCTAGACGAGACGGCCACATTGCCAATGAACCACTCATTCGTCCTCTTTTTGAGGGAACCACACGACGCCGTCTATCCAAGGCCAAGTATTCGCAGTATACGTGCAGAAGTCAGGCGTGCTGCGTGCCAGGAGTGCCAGGGTAGTGAGAAGAGATGATCGATCTTGTCCATTTCGAAACCCCCCCGCGCTCTCGGCCCTGATCAGCTTTACATTCCCGCTGTTGTAGAATCGGGCGAGGCGAGACGGGGCAAAACTCGGTTTGCTGCTTCTGGGCCGGTGCGTTCCTGTGGCCTAGCTCAACCCAACCCCCAACCCCGGTTGCTGTGTGTCATGAGCTTGAAAGGAATCTGAATCTGAAGCTGGGACTCCAGGGCGACGGCCACCATCCCTGCACGATAGACCTTGGGGTTTGGGCAGCTACATACCCTCACCTCCCAGCAAAAGCCACCCAGCTCCATATCTCCAAATGTGGAGTCCGAGACGCGCACTGGAAAGGACGGGAGCTTGCCGGAGGAGAGGGGGGATTAGTAAAAACGCAAAATCTCCCGAACAACCTCCATAAACTGTAGAGGCAAAAATAGGTTCATATAATAACAAATCAGCCACAGGACTGTTACATGGTGTGTGACTTGGTGGTCTAATACCGTACCACGTAGGCTCATCTGCCCGTTGAGACTAGGTAGGTAGCGACGAGAGAAGCGGGCACAAGAGTCGCAGTCGGGTGTCTCGGTGCAACTGCAACGCAATAGCACCAAAGGTTAGAAAGGGGAGACAAGAACGGGACAGGGAAAAGATACATTGCCTCTGATGAATACCCCAAGAACGACAAGACATACCTGTGGCAGGCATGTCTGGCTGTGCTTCCGCCCATCAGTGAGTGTGTGCTCAGTCGATCCATCATGCTGAACCCTGTCAGACCATTCTGGCCCTTGGGCAGTGGAAGGGTATATCCGTCAGTTTCCTCGTGCTTCTCGTCGTTCTCGTGAAATATTGTTTCTCTTTTTTGAGGTACGCCCGGCAAGCATCCGGCCGATACTCCGCTGGCTCACTTGACCAGGCTTGAGCCACCCCCTCCTCTCTTTTCTTCGACCGGGTCTCTTTCTCTCGATTTCGAAGGCGGCCTTCTGGCTGGCGGGAAATTGCGTCGAATTTTCGGGGACCCATTCGTATTGGAGACCCTTTCATGAACGTGACATCCCATCTCCAAGCTACCTTGCAGTAGAGAAATTTCCCGACGGCTGCAGCTTGCAGTAGGCAAAGGGAGGTCGGTGGAGGGTTCCAGTTTTGTAGTGTGGTGAAATGGCGGGAGAGGGGAGAGGGTGGTGTGGGAGGGAGGTGGGACTGGGCGAGTGCTCGCTCAGGATGAGAACCAAGCTCCAATTCCAAATGGGGGGCGCATCCACCTCAATGCGGAGGAGAGGCAGGCACGACAGGTAGGAGTCACCTCAGGCACCTTGATACCGTAAGGTACGGAGTACACTTGAGAGTCTCTTGACTTCCAGGTTTCTTGCCTTAGTAGGTTAAGGATACATTTGGTACCAATTCATGGAAGCTGTTGCAGCGGGCAAGTGCAGCGAACGCACCTGCTGTGATCTGAGTCTGAGGTGCCTGCCTTCCCCGTCAAACCTGCCCTGGAAGGTGCAAAGTGTGGGGTAAGCGCTGGTGACAAGGTCTGTGCTCTCTACTGCGTATGCCCCATGCTCCTGCCTCCATGTTCTCGTCAACCGCCCCACACCACAGTAGCCGGATTGTCCTTCCCCAGTTCAATGTTTCCCATCGCTCCCCCGTTTACCCTCAGCGACCACAGCTTCGACGAGAACGACCCTCCATCTCCAGATCGGCGGACTGGACTGGACAAAGATTTTGTCTTCAACCTTCGTGCTTCATGCAAATACGTACCTACCAAGGCTATTATATCCATGATCTGTACCGAGTATAACGCATAGTAATCCCGTATCCGTACTCGAAACTCTCCTCCTCGACGTCCCCTGCCCTGCTTCTCCTCGCCCACCCCACGTCGCTCTGCAATCCCCCGGCATCCACGACCCCCAACCAAAGGTTCCTCAACGTCCGGCGGGGGAGGAGGAACCTCGGCGCCAATGTGTCAAAATCAGCTAAGCTCCATCTCCTTCTTGCGTCCCCCCCATTCCGAATTCGTGTCCACTCCGGCCGGGAGCACCCCCTTTGGCCTCCTTGGGACTCTATCGCGCCTGAAGCTGCTATCCAACTTGCCGGAGGATCAAGGTTTTCCAGCAAGAACTCTGCTAGGGTCTTGCATGAGCACTCCCCTGCCACCTACAGCCTATCTCAAGGTCTTCCCGTTCTAATCCGGGAAGCTACATGGCTAACCAAATCGATATTGGGATTCGACGCGCGGGACAGCGGACCACAGACTCGCGGACACGGAACAAAAGCCGACGTCTGAATAGGCTCGCTCGAAAGAAGCTTAGGGCAGGCAAAACTCCAGAGGTCACATCATGTATCTGAATCTCTCGCAACAATTACGGATATGAACATCGAGCTGTCCAAATGGCAGAGCGCAGTGATCAAAGGTTCAAGCTCGGGGCTCCCTGAGACCATGGTTCGTCTTGGCTGACCCGTTCGCTTGGACTCCCGAAATGTTTAAACACACCCGACCTGCCCGCAAGTGCCGGAAGACGCAACCCTCACAACTGGTCCCATCAGCGAAGCTTTGCGTGCTGGATGGACCCCTCCATGATGACTGTTCGAGATCCCGATAATCGGCGGGCGTTCCGTCGTGACATGGCCTTCTCCAACGCCAAGGCTGGTGCTTAGATTAGTCTGCAGTGGTGGTTCAACGATGTGTGGCACGTTATCAATGCTCACGGCATAGCCCAAGTTCGTGCTGATTCTCTGGAGAGATACCCGCGACGACGACCATAGTAGTGATAGCGGGTAGCGAGTGTAGGCTCTGCAGTCTTCATGGTTCATGAAGTTAGGGGGTCCATGAGCTATCTTGCTACTTGGTTGGATCAATGTGAAGTCTGACGTGAATCCTGTCACTCTTCGTCGAAGTATCAGCGCCGTAGTGACCTTTCGACCCTATCATTTTACCCCGTGAAGATAAACCGCGAGAGATTATCAGGCACCCTTCATTGGTTCCAACAGCGGATATAAGACTTAGTGGCCCATAGGCCTCTCTCGGTATAGACTTCAAGCCCAGATCGTCATCGTATGCCAAAGGCCAAGGGCCTCTCATGCGTTTTCTTTGCAGTTTTGAAGAGAAGGTTAGAGGCAACAGAGAACATTCCTCATGATTTATATTATATATCAGAATCGTGTCTCGTATTGGAAACCTACCTAGGCCTTGCGTGTTTCCCTTTAGCCAAATAGCCTTGCAGCTTATCGTCGGCGATGGGGAGTACTCTGATGTAATTCACAGTAGCCAGGCGCAGTAGGCATCGTTGAGCCCCAGGGAGCAGTAGATATACCCCAGTCAGCACCAGCTCCGGATCAGTTGCGGTCAGCGGTATTCCTTATCATCTGAGAAACACCTTCACGGTTCTATTGGGGTAGTGGTCCTCTGTGGCGATAGAATCCAAGAGGACCTTATAACTCAGATGAGTATCAACACGGAGCTGGAAGTCTATAGGGCGTTTATTTATCCATCAAGTGTCCACAAAGACTATCTCGAACTCGAAAAACAGTATGCGAGAGTCGACCGAAAGCATGGCCGACGTCGTCTAAATATATGCCAACGTACCTTTGCAAGTTCTGGCTCGTCAAGTAGTCTTTCGTAGCCTCTTTATGACTGGCTGGCAGTCTTAGTCCCCGGCTCGCTACTAGCACCTCAATTACCGGTCATCAAGGGGCCAGAGTTCTACAATGGCTGAACCTAGTCGGTAGAAAGTGGCATGAAGGTGTGTGTGTGACTTGAGCCGCAACTTGTGTCGATCTTGGTACTAATACAAGAATAGCTGCCTTGTTGAATCAGGCCATGTAGATTATATGTGGAACTGATCTGTCATAGACATGTGCCTGGTGATTTTTTGCGACGCATCCTGCCGAGATGAAAGGAAATAGGTGCTGGAAAAATCGAGTATTGGTGTTATGCCCCTGACAAGCTAGCGGCATGTGTAAACCTCTCGAGGCCATATCCAGGCCACCGAAGCTAGCAAGAACAATATCCATAAATGGATCAGCTTGAACCAAGTTAAATCATATGAGATTCAACGCTCCGCGAAGTTATTTGGTTGTCTCATAGTCTCAAAGCTCGAGATGGCCAGCTCAGAGACACTGGACGAGGGAGAACCCCTTTTTCCAGATCCAAGCCTTTGGTAGCATCGATTTCACCCACAATGACAGCAGGTCTCCGCAACACCTTACTAAGGTACCTTAAAGTGGCTCATGAAGCCATGCTTATCAAGGTCTCCTCCCAGCCGCAGTCTACGAGGAAAGTAGGAAGGAGGCAGGTGGAAGATGCTTTCCCTGTAAAGACTTGCAGCCCTACCCGTACCTTCCCACCTACCACCTGCCTCCTTCCCGCCTTCCTTAAGAGGCTACTCATATCCCATCAACTTCATTCCCGTCACCAGCACTCATCCGGATTGGCCAGGTGGTTTACACTCTGACGCAGAGAAGATAAAACAAATACTCCAATGAAGCCGTGCTGGCCTGAGGGGCGCGCTGTTCGAATCTGGGCAGGGGCGTGGATTATAGGGTCAGTATTCCCCCTCCCATTCCTTTCTTTTTTTTTTCTCTTTCTTTCAAAGGTTCATTTGGATGTCTTCTTTATGATCTCATCCCCAGTAGAGAATCTCTTTGGTGTCCTTTTCGATTGTATCCCATTCTTTTTTGTTTATCCCAGTCCAGATATGCCCACCCATTTCTTCCTTCATGCTCATTCCTCGTAGGAAACCACTTGCCCATGGCTCAGAGACCCCGTGTCGCAATCCATCAAACAGTCCCCGTCCCTCATCCAACGCCTTCAACATCTCCAACACCCCTCACGCCTTACTCTCCTCCAGCAGCTCCTTTGGCCACCGCACCTCAAACCCGCTCACCGTCTTCTGAATCTCCAAATCGCCCGGGTCCCCATCAAACAGCGGCTTCTCCATCTTCTTCTCAAACACCTGCTCGACAAGCAATCCCCTCTCCCTCACGACATCGAAAAAGGCCAGATCCTTGTGCCTCAGCCACGGCCGGTACGACGTGAAGAACACATACGCCACGCTGCCTTCTTTCCTCGCCAGCGCCTCCCAGATCGTGTCGGCAAGCTTCCCGTGCTCAGAGTGCCGGAAAAGCAGATCCGCCAACACCAGCACGTCAAACTTCTTTTCTTCCTTCTTCTCTTCCCCCTCGGCTGAAGAAGAAGAAGAAGAAGAAGCAATCTCCGCCAACAAAGGCTTCACGTCCGCGCCCCAAACATACCCCTTGGGCACCACAACCCCCTCCAGATCCCCCGCCTCGTCCACGTTCTTCTGCATCGTCATGACGATATCCGCGTCCGGGAAATCCGAAACGACGACGCGCTTCGCGCCCAAGATACCGGCCGTCAAACTCGGCAACCCAGCTCCCGCGCCGAGCTCCAGCACCGTCTTGCCCTTTACACGCGACGGGTCCGCCTCAAAGTAGTCCGAGACGACGCGGCTTCCGTTCCAGAGGTGGTGCGCTTCGGTGGGCGAGTAGCCGACGAGGTGGAGGGTCAGGACGCGGCCCGAGGCGAGGGTGTGGGTTTGGGAGGTGGGTGGCGGGGTGGGCGGGTAGTAGTCCTCCGGGTCGGCGAAGAGGTCGCCCGTGTCGCCGTCGGCGACGTCGCTTACTGGGCTCATTGTGATGAGTGTGTTGTATTGTTGTTTGCGAAGTGTGTTGTTGGTGGTGGGTGTATACCCAGAGCAGCGACTGAGGGGTTGGATTATGATACCCTGGGTGAAGAGGGGCAGATCTGAATGAGATGCCCTGAGATGAGTCGGCTAAGTTATCTCGCTGGGAGATGTGATGAGCCTCTCTGTTTGAGAAAACTGTCACTTGCTGAGTCTAGCTAGAGCGTCAGTTAGGGTCGGGCAAAAGTGAAGGTGAGATCAACTTACTTGGATGAATGCGGGGTGTAGAGGGGTCAATCGCAAATGAGTCGCAATTTTTGACGTCTGTTTTTTTTTTTTTTCTTTTCCTGCGACGAAGTAGAAGTGGGTACAGTGTGAGACTGTCATCGGTTTCTCACCAAAGGGATACAATATTGGTGGTCACAAACACAGTGTGAAGAAGGCGCTGGCACTTTATCTCCCAAGTCTACCTGGAGTACTCTGAGTGAGGTAGGAGATCGTCTTAATTGCAGAGTCGGAGGACACTCGGTAGGTAGAGCATTCCGAGAGTATAGGCAGTCAGCTCTTTACCTCTCTGACATCAATAGATGAGTCTCACGAGGACATGGTCGAATCTTTTGAATTGCGCCTTCAGATTTTGATACGCCACCACCCTTTTCACTGATATCAGTTTGTCCGAGAAAAATCCTCTATGAACTATACCACTCTCCAACCTAGTAAGCAACGAACCTATCAGCCACGAAAGGACACAAGCCGCTCAAACGCTTTGGCACACTCTTCTGGCGTTCATGGAATCGGGCAGTCTTGTCAGATGCGTGGACTTAAGAAGGTTCGGTCTGGAGGGCGGGGGGTTCAGACGAAGAGCTCCTGCTCCTTCCTCTAACATGAGCCCGTCTTGCTGTCTTATAAAATGGTTCACTCCAGCGGTATCTAGAGACTCTCGGGCAGAGGCAATGGGCCGGGGCATGAACTCTCCGATGAAGCATCTCTGCTGGCTCTCTTAGAACCAAAGGCCTTTGAGGCTTGGCCTTTATACCTACCAGTTTGATAAAAGGAACCTAGATAATCCTAACCAATCACAGGCCATGTCTTAATCGGAGGAGTCTGATTTTTTCCAATATAGATAGCCTAATATAAACGGTCTTCCTGTTAGAGAAATAGGCGGAGGCGCATAAACGCTATAATCAAGACTTTTTACTTGTATTGTATACTCTTTACAATTTCAGCAATCTATTGCTCACTGGCTATGTCTTAGTCAATTGCACCCATTTTAGGTGTGTGCGATCCAGCATGTACACATGCCTTTGATTTCGGACGGACCACGACACTAAGCAGGTCCGCCTTCCCTTGAAAAACACTACATCCGTCCAAAAGACTCGTATTAATTTAAAGGACATACATTTGTCCAAGATGTTCGGGCCTAAAAACTTCTATATTCACGTCAAGGAAGTCGAGCACGGGCATACTAAAGACTTATATCCCTATCACGAACATCACATGCTCTCAAGGGATTCACAATTCACTATACTATAACAACTCCCGTCCACGACCCAGCAACTCGCACGTATTAATCACGTACCATTCAAACAAGCGAGGCGAACGTAGCAAGCCAACAGATATAGCCCTGGAGACATCGTCTCTCTCTCTCTATCTATTATAGCCTAGTAACCCGCGCGTGTTCGTTACACATCGTTCAAACGAGCGAGCCAAGCATGACTGGCCAGCGACCTTATGCATACCGGCTCGTCTTCACCTACTATCCCCTCTGGTAAATCATCGCCTCTCACCTGAAGCCCAACCCGACCATGACCGCGGAGCCACCTCCCAAAAACTATCACGAAGAACAACGATTGGGCGCGTTCGTCCTGATAACTACACACGAACGGTTACATATACTACCTCAATGATCTACCCAGGACTGAGACCCAGGGCATGATAACATCCTCCCCCTTTACACTCACATTTCCCAGGCACCTCATCCAAACCTCTGCTTCGCCAGCTCCCTCAACCCCTTCATAACCCCCTCCTCCCGCTCCCGATACTCCCGAACCCTCTCCTCCCGCTCAGCAGCCCTCGCCCGCGCAATCTCCTCCCTCCTAACCTCCCTCTCCGTCTTCTTCCTCTCCTCCCTCGCCTTCATCGCCTTCAACTCGGCAAAACTATCCCCGCCCCCCATGAGCTCCTGCTCGCCCACCTCCGCCACCCCAGCATCCCCACCTAACCCCTTTTCGCGAAACTCCTTCATCTTCTCGTTGACGGCCGCCCTCTTCTCGAGCTGCCTCTCCCGCGTGCCGGCCTCCGCGCGGGGCGCCACGTCGTCCAGCCTCTCCCGTTGAAGCTTCCTGTCCTCCTTGCGCGCCAGCCGGAGGTCCGACGCCAGCGCCGAGCGGTCGCGCGCCGCTTCCTCGGCGAGGGTCTCGCGCTGCAGGGAGAGGTCCGCCATGTTGGGGATCCCGGGCCCAGAACGCTGGCCAGTGCCTCGCGAGGTGGGCGGTAACCTCGGTCCGAGATCATCGTCGTCGTCGTCGTCGTCGTCGTTGTCATCCTCGTCTTTGCGATCTTCATCATCCTCATCATCAGTCCTCTCCCTGTCGTACTCTCTCTCCTCACTCCTCTCAACCACCTCCTCATGCCCCCTACCATCAGGACCCCGCGAAGGAAGCCCATCAATCCCAACCTCAAGAGCCCTCTCCTTGGCAGAGACGAACATCTCGGGATCATACCACCCCTGCGACAGCTCCCCGCGGTTCCATTTCCCCACGAAACTCTTCCACCGGCCCCTCACCTCCCTCTCGTCCATCTCTCGAATGTCCTTTTGCTTCTGCAGGTCGAGGTAATACGCCAACAGCGGCCGAAAAACCTCAATCTCCGACTTGCCCAGCTGACGCGCCTCGTACGGTAACGACAGCACCGCAGCCTTCTTCTCTTTCGAAGCAGTGCTGCCGGCGGCGGCGTTACGAGGACCATCACGGTGCCGACGATGATGGTGATGACGTCGATGGCTGTGTCTCGAATCCCGATCTTCCGGGTCGTCGCGGTCGCGGTCGCGGTCGCGGCCGCCCCCACCGTCTCCGCGGGGAGATCTCGCCCTCCGCTCCCGACGCGAACCGCCCTCGCCGACGGGCGACCTCCGCCTCACTTCATCCCGGTGCCGCCTCGGCGACCTCGACCTCGACCGGGAGCGGGTTCGTCCGTATCTTCGCTCCTCACCCCTGCGCTCGCCCGAGCGATCCTCGTCTCCGACCATAGTTCAGAAAACGAATGGACGTTCAAACGAGTGAGTCTACGCTTCCGAGCAAGGATGCGCCAAGTTGGGATGAGATTAGGATGAAAAGATCCACGATAAGGCACCCTCGTTAAAACACACAAAAGACCCCTCCTTGTCTGATTGCGACACGTCCTTCTCGGGAAAACCCTCGGAAAACAAGCTTTTCTTCTCACTCTCTTGGGGTTGGTTCCCAAAAATGTGTCAAGCAAAGTCGCACGTCAGATATCTTTCGACAAGGATGGCGACTCCTCTCCAAGAGCAGAAGTTGAGAAAGTGATGGGTGTGTGGGGTAAGGATCTCTGGTTCAACGTCGAATCGTGGCCGTCTCTTTGTTTGACCACAGTTTCAGGCGTCGAGAATCTGCCGCGACGGTGAAGCCGATCAGCCGAATTGGCCTGCGCACCCAAAGGAAGGGGGGTGGCAATATTCGGAGGATGCCGAGTGAGGCTGGTTGTCCAAGGGGAATTTTGCAATGGCAGGTATTGCACGCGTGTGGTTCGAACCACACGAGAGATGAGAGGTTGTGATTGCGCTGGATATCAATGTAGGGTAAGGTAGGTGAAAGGTTGGTCGTTTGCGGCGATGTTGTTGTACGAGAAGCCAAACGTCCGTGCCTCCTGACGGTCAGAAAAAAAGTTGGAGACTCCCCTGGTCCCGCGGCGTGGCTGCCCTGGGGACCGGAGCAGTGGGAACCCCAACTTCGGCGCCGGAAGGCTGCACACGCCGTGCCGACTTTCCCCTCTCCTGCCTACGACAACTCCGAAAATAATGTTAGAATTACGGCATTGAGTCCGGGCTTTATCAACCGTAGCCGTTGATTTCCAGCTGTCTCAGCCTAAGGCAGATATTTCCCAGCTCATCCTTGGCTGTACTGTGCAAGGTACTCAAGGGAAGGGTTGAATAGTTTCTGTTTCGATTTCAATCACCGGATCGTCAAACGTTCTATGAACGAGTACTTATTCTATCAGTACTATGATACGGCCAGTAAAGGGTATCGCTCCAAACACCGCATATGCAAGTCGAAAACGGCTGGACAATGCCGACCTTCCAAATGACTCCTTCGTATCCATTGTCGAGGGTAAAACATCCCGCAAAACCTAATCCTTTGCGGACCCCAGCTCGACACACCCAAACACCCCTCATCCTGACTCGGGGATGGGCGAATTATTGTGTATCGAGCAGCCGAGGCACTGACAATCGTCGCCGCATGGACATGACGACGTCTCGCCAGCGCACCCGTCACCGTTAAACGGGTATGTCACGAAGAAGAAGTCGTTCGCGGATAGAGCCTGCTCTTCACTCAACACTGAGGCTCCATCGGAAGGTGTTTGCGGCCCAGCAGGAGAACCGCCGTTTTCGCCATTCGTGTGTACATCCATTCCGCGGGCGCCAGTCCCGTTGGTCGTTGCCGTCTCCGAGTGCCCATTCGTGCCGTTTGTGCCGTTCGTACCATTCGTCATTCCATAAGAGTCGTCCAGCATACTGGTGTATGCAGATCGCACGTAGTCTTGCGTCGCATCGTTGTAAGGGTGAGCCGCGCAGCCCACACACTGGCAGCCGTCGCCACAGCTACACATGTGTGATGTTGATTCGGGCATGATCGGGGTTGTACCATCTGGGGTAAAAAGCGAGTTCGGCATGCCGTACGCGGCCGGCTGCGGGATTGGTTGACCATACTGCTGCGCCTCCATCTGCTGCTTCCACTGTGCAGGCTGTAGCGGTGACATCCAAGATCCGTATTGAGGCGGGTATGTAAAAATTGTTGGTTGGAAGTATGAGTTGAACATTCCCTGGGGCATGGCGGTAGGTGTCTGGAAAGGCGACATGGCTATGGCGCTCGATGGCGACATATGACCATTCGACATATGATGTACGTTTGTGTCTATCGCAGGCGCTTTGCTAGAGCAACAACCGCCCTTCTTAGGCTTTGGTTGCGTCTTGGGGCTCGAGCTGACACTAGAAGGCTGTGTAGAGCTCCCCTCGGCTTTGCTCGGCCCTGAGCAACATGAGCCACCCGTGCTGGTGCTCGTCAGCGATGGCGGAGGGGCAGGCTTCGGCGTCCCGTTTGTCTTTCCTGAGCAGCAAGATCCCCCATTCGACGCCGTCATCGGAGTGGGCGTTGTCGTAGTCTGTGAGGTGTTGACGGTTGATGATACGGTATTTGGCTGAGATATCGACATAGCGGCTCCCGGAGGAAACATGGGCGCAGGCATCTGTTGTGGGAACATTGGATACATGATGGGTTGGTGGAAACCGCCGTTAACACCGCCCATCATAGTCATACCGCCGTACTCCATCCCATTCCTCGGTGTGGGCATGCTTGGCATGCCACCATTGGCGTGTGGCATGTGATTCGCTTGGGCCATGTCGTACGGCGGCAATATGTTGATATTGGTGGCATCCATCCTCTCGAGATTCACGGGGTCGAACGACTGCTTGCGACTAGCCGCCTTGGGGGCTGATTTTTGTATGCGAAAGGAGGCGGCGGATGCCTTTGTCGGGGACATTGGCGGGACATCGCTCGCCGGCGATTCTGCCTTGACGACACTGGGTGATTCTGCGGGGGTTCCGGCGTTGCTGGAGCCGCAGCCACATTTCTGCTTTCTCGGGATGGCGGCCGTCACACTACCACAGCCGCATCCGCGGGAGGGCGGGTGAGGACATGTGCTCAAAGGTCTGCCGGGCTTTCGAACGGGGACCATCAAGCGTTCATTCGCATGGGTGCATTTGGTGGAGCGATGACCACGGATGCATGGCTCGCTGGAGGGCGGAGGGTGAAATGGTCAGCTCAGGGTCCAGCGGAAAGCGGGATGCGGGATTCCATCGATGCACAGAGAAATCGCAAGTCGTGGTCGTGGTACAGCGAAGGTAAACACGACGAGGAAAAAGCGAAATGAGGGAGGACAAGGCCGGAAGGAATAGGACGTTGCGACTTACCAAGCCATCTTCTGGCCGTTGATGAGCGGCATGGTGGGCTGTGGTGGGGTGGGCTCTCAAGGTTGCTGTGATACGTGAGAGCGGGTAGAAGTTTCGGCAATCTTTCAAGTTGCGGTAGAGTCTACAGGCTTGTCGAAAAAGGGTAATTGCAAAAAGTAAAAGCTGCGATGAATGTCGCTCGCTCAGGCTTCGGCCCCAATAGACCTCGGACGGTGGGAGTGAGCGGCGGCGTGGAACATGAAGGCGGGAGCCAGCTCTCAAGGTGCGGCGGCGGCGTTCGTCGAGTTTGGGTTCTGGTCGTTCGTATGGTTCGCGGTCGCTGCTGGTCGGTCTCTCTGGTGGGCTTGTTTGCGACTCAGGCAAGCAAGCTGTGTATTCGGCAACGTTGGGTGAAATCGGCTCAGCGGGCCAGAAAGGCCATGTGATGGTTGAGGGGCGCCGGCGGTAAGATGAGTCGTCGGGGCTTCCAGCGCAAAGCAATTCGGTAACGATGTCGAAGTGAGGAATGCGGGATTGAAAGAGCTGGGGATTGGCGAGAGAAACGAGCGGCGTTTCGAGCGTGAAGAGGTTTAAAGCTGCGCGCAAAGGGGCCGGGGGGGGTTGGTAAGGAAGGGCAGGTTTCTGGGTATTGAATGAAATGGAAAGCAAAAAGCAGACTGGACTCTGAGAGAAGCGCCGGGTCGGCAAAGCAGTGGAATCGTTGCTACCTTTTACCTTAGCTGTCCTGGCACCCAAGGTTAGGTACCCGTAGTGTAGTGCGAGGTGGAGGGATGAGGTGGTGGTCAGGGAAGACAAAGTCACAAAGGCGGGTTAGCAGCGAGGGCAGAAACAGCGACGGTCCATGGGAACAGGAAACGGCCCAGTGGACCGTTTGAGGTGAGAAAGGACGTCGGCGTCGGGGGGAGACGGGGTCTGGCCTGTACGGATAGTCCCCTGTTGACTGAGGAAGGAACAACACCAGCAGCACCTGCTTGAGTCGAGTTAAGGTACCTTTAGGCAGGTACTTGAAGAGCAGTCAAGGCAGGTCCCTTCTTTCCTCTCTCTCTCTCTCTCTTACTTACTCACTCCTTCCCCCGATCCGAATTCAGCAAGAGTCACAACCATTGAACCACCTCATACAGGTAGGTAGGCACTTGCCTCCTCTCGGGTAGCCTTGGGTCCCTGACCAGCACTAGCGGCCCCTATGCTCGATGTCCTACCTTGGTCCTTGGCATCGTCTAGTCCAGCCCAGTGTGAACCTGTGAAGGTGAGTTCCAGTTCCGAGCCCCCAGCCAGCAGCCCGCAGCGGCAAGAGGGGACGCCCAAGAGAAGCACGAGCAGTGGACGGCGGCGGTGGGCGTGGGCAGTGGATGGGGACGCGGCGGGCGGGAGGGGGGGTGAGCGAGCCAGGTGAGGGACGGCATCCCGGTAGCGCATCGAAACAGCCCCACGTGCGGGGGTTTATTACATGCCTCGCTCGCCTTCCGCCGCCGCCTGGTTCACATTCTGCCTTGCTCGGATACTCGACACATGGATTACAAAGACCATTCATTGAGGGCACAGATACCTAGAACTGAATGCTCAGTGCCTACGCGTAGGTCGTGAAGGGCATGCTTACATCAGTACATGTAATGAAAGCCCAGGCGGGAAGAGTAGTCCTGTCTGCAGCTCTTATCACAGACGGCATGCCATGTCTGTCCGTACACCTAGAACAGCTGGACAGGTACATACACAGATACCCTTTCCGGCTATGCCACCTCAACCTCGTCTTACAACCGGAGCCCAGTCATGCCCATGGTATTTCACTGCCTACTTCAATACCTCCTCAGAATTGAACATGAGATGACTGTAGGTCGATGGTCCTGACTATCCATCTCTCTTCCTCACCCTGTTCGGAGCAACCTTTTTTTTTTTTTTTTTTTTTTTTTTTTTTGACGGCAAACTTTCTAACCAACTCTAAGGCACGTTATTCAATACAATAGCAGGGCCAACCCAGTGATTTCTGCGTCTGCTTAGAATGGTAAGCCGGGGCGCGCGGTTGGGACTTTACCTCAAGCCCGTAATCTACCGGCTGGAGGCGACGCGCTTCCCACGTTGACATGGCGTTCGCCGCAGAAGCGCCCCGAGCGTCCATCTCCCTCACAGTAAAGCTGCTAGATATAATGCCTACCAGCATAAGACATGTCGCATCGCATCGGAAAAAGGGAGAAGAAAGAAAGACGTGAGAGAGATGTGGCTGACTAGCAAGACAAAAGCTCCCGGCTATGAGAATAAAGCCGCGTGCTCTCTCTCTCTCTTCTTCTACCGGGATACGCTGCCCAACTCGATAAGAAGCTAACTCTGGATCGCCGTTTAGTACCGAGTTCCCCGTTTCCCTTTACTCTCCGTACCTAGTCTCTCTCTTCTACACAGTACATGAGAAGTGTGACGGTACGCAGTCCAGGCATTCTCGGCCACATTTCTTCTTCATGCCATTCTTGCATCTTGACATGTCGTCGTATCCTCATATCGACCGAAAGCTCCATCATCATGGGAACTATAAGGTACAACAATCAAGGGTCCAGACTCTGAGATCCTGTGCGACCACACGCGCGCTCACGCTCACATTCACCCTTACTCACACATTACGGCTGACCGTCTGACTGGGCTCCTCCTCACACTCCCGCGAGTCGGTGCCGAGTCCGCGGTCTGCCCAGACTCGGGCTCCCCTCCAGGCCGGGAATCAGGTCACCTATCAAATGTCGGAACTTCTATTGCCTACTATGTAAAGTACTTTGGACATCGATACTTTGTACGACTTGATCCGATTCAATGTCCTGTCACGGGGTTTCACGGTTCATTGAGGTAGTCCGCTATCCTCCCGTGTTAGTCGTCCACACACACACACACACACCCCAAAGACAAACCCGCACGGATATCGCGCCACGGATTTCCCAAAAGCTCAGAGCATTCCGAAGGCACCCATAAAAGAATGCGTATCCCCACGGCCAGGCGCTCTAGATCAGGAAATTCGAGCGCGGGGACCAAAAAAAAAACTTGTGAACGAAAAACGCGAGAGAGACCGTAGTCACCGTAAGGAGGGTGGGAGCGAGCAAGTAAGAAAAAAACACCGACTACATACTCCACCGTCAGAGGCTCGAGAGGCAAGGGAAGTGAGCAAGTTTTGATTGGCCGGGTCCGGGCAGCACCACCAAAAATTCACAACGAGACGGTCGTCGAACGAGCACCACCCCTCTCTCTCTCTCTTTTTCTACGAGCCTACCCAACAAGAAACCGCTTCACACGAAGAATGCGTATCCATGGCTGTGCAGAAGTAGCGCTCCGAAAAAAGGTACCCCAAGGTGGACACTTGTGATGTAACATGTTGTGCTTGTGTTGTTGGCACTAAGACGGCTTCTCTCTTCATTCTCCGCCGCCGCAACCTCTGCGCAGGGCTAGATATCTTTGCTCAGGGCAAGAAAAAGATACATACCTATAATACATAGCCGGCTCTCATAGATATCTTCTGTAGTGTCAATGATCACTGCCGTCTCCTCCACGCCAAGGTGAACCCGCCAACCGACGCTTCACTTATGCCGTCATATCTCGTCCCTTTCATATATCCATCCGTATGGACTTGTCTGCCCATCACCCTTTATGCATTGCCATGCCGCGCTCTCTCTAAGCGGCATCGGGCAGCCCAAACTTGGACGGCCGCCCCGTCGTCCTTCTGCAGGACGGCTGCCATATCCCCCTCCCACATATACCCCGTCCCGCTCACGGCCCAGTCAAGACACATGCGTTTACAATACTATTCTTCAGATAAACCCTGGATCTTCATAGGGTGAGCAGTTTTTGTCAATCGTCCAAGCCCGCCGTCTCGCCCCTGGTGTCGTCTTGGCTTCTTTCAAGGACCAGCGCCTGCGTCCGCCACGCGCGCTTAGTTTCCCTCATCCGAATCTCCAGAGTCAGCAAACATGTCCACTGCTCTCATCCTTTTCCGGGGCTGTCCCTTCGGCTGGGTTGATAATTGCAAACGTCCGACAGTGGGGGCGCCGTCAGTCTTCGCGGTCTCTGCCGCTCCTTCTACCTTGCTGCTGGCCTCGTCTGACGGTGACTGATCCTTTGCCGTTTCGGTTGCGTCCTCTTCCATCGGCTCCCCCTCGACATCATCATCCACCATGGGCTCACCCTCCACATCCTCCTCGCTCATTGGTTCGCCCATGACATCGTCCTCTTCCATGGGTTCACCGGCAACATCTTCCTCGTCCATTGGTTCGCCTTCGACATCCTCCTCCTCCTCCTTGTCAGCTGTTGGCTGTGGCGCTCTCTGATCAAGGTTACCCGTTGTGGCAACATCAGCGACCGGCATCGAGGTCTTCTCAACCACCTTCCATCTACCCTTCTTGGCTGCGTCATCTTCCATCTGCTCTTGTGTCTTTGAAGAAGGCGGGTTTTCAAACGTTTTGGCAAACAGCTCCTGACTCTCCGTCGGAAAGACACACCAGCCTTCCCAGAGGCTCAGTACTAGACCAACGCTTCGTTTCCACTTCTCAGCCCGCAGTCGGCCCCAATTTAGCTTCTCGGCCATCAGCCCCAGACCTTCAAAGATGTTGCGCTCTTTGAGTGCTCCTTCGAAGATTTGTCGATACCGCCAAGCACGCTGGATACCGCTACTAGAGGAGGCGGATAGCACGTCGCTGACAACGTATAGGCCCACGAGGCTTGCGCCGCTGGTGTCAGGGCCTTCCTTCTCGGCTTTCTCTTCTGGCTCAGCTTCAGGCGGTTCTGAATCGTCCCTTTGTCTTCCCTTCTCTTTGCCATTCGACTGAAACTCTGGGTTGGCCGCCGTTAGTGCAAAGGGCTTCTCGACGTTCGAGACGATCATGTCGACGACCTCTTTGGCACCCCGGCTTGCGTGCGTAAGCGCGAACGCTGTCACTCGGGCGACATCTCCTTTCCGAATCTTGGATAAAGTTGTAGGCAAACGTGATAAGAGATGGGTAAGCTTTGCTTTGTCGAGGGGGTTCAGGAAGGTAGCCTCTGCCTCAGGCCCCTGAGCCTGGTTCTCGCG